TTGTTTTTTTTGCCCGTGTGTGGGTGACTAATTATTGTAGAAATGAATATATAACGAACTGAAAAAAAACTGCCAAGATTCTCATGTTTGAGAGCCAATTTCAATAGTAATGAATTTTTAAATGGCAATCTGCCAAGTCACGGAAATTATCCTGTCACTGTGCAAACACGGAAATGACAAATCCAATTAAAAAGCAGAATATTGTTTTTAACCCCTTCGTGACTGACGACGTACAGTATACGTCGCCAGCATCGGGGCTGTTTAAACAGACTCCCGGTGACTTTTGCCGCCGGGACTCTGTTTAAACTTGTAGAGCCGACTGTCGGCTTTACAACAGAAGCGATCAGTGCAAAAATTGAAAAAAGGGCCTCAGTCATGAAGGGGTTAAATAAGGATTTGTTGAAATCACTTTAGGGCTCCTGTACATGGCTGTCTGTGGCCAAACAACATAATTTCTGGAGTGTTTCCACTGTAAGGGAACCACAGGTGCGGTGTACAGCCTCCCATAGAAGTCAATGGCTGTAGGCAGGTATAGATCAGACTTGCGTAAACACTTACATGTGTTCGGGCGCATAGCCCTGAATGCAGACTGTCTGCATTAGGGGTTGTGTGCCTGTACACATGTGCATGTTTACTCATGTCTGGTGTATACCCATAGGGGTGTGCAATTCCTATCGCCCAACGCCCGAGACATGCAGTTTCAGGCGCCACAAGAGTATTTTTTTTTTTGTGCATTTAGCCCTGCTCCGGTCAAGCAGAGCTAAATGTACAGCGGGGAGCCGCCGCTCGTCTTTATACAAGTGATCTGATAAGATTGTCCGTTCTTCGTCTGCTCTGTGTGATCACTGAGACCGGAGCGCTGTAATCACCTGTCTCAACTGTCAGGAACTGCACAGAACATCTGTTCTGTGTTGGAGGGCAGGTTCCATAAAAAGAGAACCTGTCACCTCCAAACTATCACATAGGGGATTTTAAGGCCCTATGTAATAGGAATAAAATTAAGTTGGGGGGGAAGAAAAAGGAAAAAATAATATATAAAAATTTTAAAAAACAAACCCCGCTGCCCCCGCCATCTGCATGCAAATAAACGAATGTGTAGGACATTCCACTGTGTAACATATTGTGGTAGCCAGGCAGCAGAATTCTCCAACACACACAATGTGCATTAAAGGGCAAGTTCACTTTTCCCAAGTAATATGGGAAAATGGAATTACCCGATCAAATCTGGCCCCCTCTCTCCCACACCCCACCCCCACCCCCCAGCTATACTTACCTTTTGGCGAACAGTCCTTACCCTGCGCCAGTACAGGTGTACTATCTGTACCCCATACTGCTATCCAACGCAGTCCTGCCATATGCATTTTGAATTTCGTGACCACACTGACCAATGAGAAGCGCTATTTAGCACAGTCAAATACCGTTTTGATTAGGGATGCACCAATACAGAGTATTTGGGTGAGTACTTGTACTGGCCCAAATGCCGATACCTTCCCCAATAGCAGAACTTCCGTTCAGCGGCAGATTTCCTCTGACCGGCAGTGCTTTAGGGGAACATGGAGCCAGCTTCCTGTGCAATCAGGAAGCGGGGCAGCGACTAATGACCCGCCTCCCAGTTTTCTGATTGCCCGGGAAGCCACTCCCATAATATACTACAATCTCATATTTAGTTTATTAATTTGTATTGAGATTGTAGTCTGTCACGGGAGCGAGCTTGGAGCGGTGACTACTTTACAACACACACAGGGACCGTGGGGGAACAAAAGTAGCCTCCCTCCAGAAAGAAGGACAATGTCAGCACCAATTCAGAGATGATCTGAGAATTTACAGCACAAATAACTATTAACAAAACTGGACCTTAAAGGTACTTGAAGGCATTTTTAAAATGTAGCCCCTGAGTTTCGTGTCACTTTACGCTCTCCAGGATTTGGGGGCTGCTGATGCACTCAGTAAGAGAATTAAATATCCATAGTCCATACAGGCACTTGAACGTACAGCAATTCAAATGAACCATAAGATCTAAAATTAGCTCAGCAATGGCAGCCAACATATTTCTCCCAGTACAGGTTCCCTTTAAAGGTAACTCTAGGTACAATTTAGGTAGGTATTGGGATTTTGTTACCTCCATTCTGCAGCAAGGACCACCTTTACCTGGGCTTGGACATCTATTTCATCACTCCACTGTACACTCTCATTCTGCTTCCACATAGAAAACAGCTTAATTCTCCTGGACGGTGGCAGAATCATCTACTCTAATTACTAAGTAAGGATTGTGTATAAATTACGTTTAATGAGCCATCCTGAGCAATTATTCCTTTCTCAAAATGAATAAAGTGACAAATATCGTTGCTATTTTTTTAAAATGCCCATTATAGAGATTAATGTGACAGAAGCGGCACCTATACCCACTAGTGTTTTATTACCAATGAAGCATAAAACTTCACTCAGTTGTATTATGAACTGTCAACCAGGAATAGTTTGTTTTGCACAATCCCCTGTGTATTTAAACTTGGCCACTAAAAGAAAAGCTTCATCATATGGTACATTACGGCCAGTCGGGCTGTTATTAAATCTCAATTATGACCGTGCTGTCATCTGCTCGCTATGAATTTGTTGTTCAGAACTTTGCAAACGCAGCTCTTCGAGGACACATAACATGGAGGAAGATTTACCCTTAAATAGCACTTTCATGTGCAGCATAAAGCAGGGTTGGCACCAAGACTAAAAGCTGTAAAAGGACATGTACGTTTGAAATTAGGGAAATAAATATCTATCAAGTGTTTAATAAAGACGTAACAAAGAGGAATGGTTAAGACAACCACTCTCTAACAAACTGACCAGATTTTTTTAATGTGAAAACCGAGAACACAAAAATGTATTAGGTGAAAGTTTGGAGAAGTTATCCGTTCCACCAACATACTATGTACCAGTGAACTCTTGAATCACAATCAAGTAAAGCATTTTGAGGTTAAAAATAGGCAAGCGGATTACACATTAATGGGTGCTCCACTAGGGAAGTCAGAAATGGAAAAAGGTCTGGGGATCATAGTAGACCACAGATTGAACAATAGCTTGCAGGCTGTGGTAAACAAAGCGAGCAGAGTACAGTCATGCATTAAAAAGGGAAATGTACTGTAGAGACAAATCTATAATTTTGCCACTTGATAGATCACTAGTTCGACCTCATCTGGAGTATGCGGTCCAGTTTTGGTCACCAGTCCACAGAAAGGATTTCCTTGAGCTGGAGAGAGCCCAGAGAAGGGCAACTAAACTAATTAAAGGAGAACTATGAGGTGAGTGCTTTTCACTCACCTCATAGTTCTAGCCGACCTGTGACAATGAGACAGTCACAGGTCGGCTCAGTAGATCGGGAGGTGAGCGAACACATACCGGCGTTCGCTCACCTCTCGATCCTGTCGCGGCTCTCTGCCGTGACAGGGGAGGGGCTGGATTCCCCCCTCCCTGCTCCGATCCCCCTGCGCTGACTGGAACAGTACTGCATTCAGTCGCCTCGGAGAGCCTGTAAACACAGGCAGAATGCTGGGCTGGTAGACACTGCAGCATACACTTGTTTGCTTTAAGGTCTGTATTCCAGTGACATGCGGTACCTCTTGTTTGGGGTGAGCCCGCGTCGGACGAAGCCCCGCCCACAACCCGTCCCCAAGCTAGTGTAAAGGAGGAAGGGAGGAGCCTCCCTGTCCCTCACTTGCTCCTCACCGATCTGATTGGAGAAAAAGCTGTCAGCTTCAGACATGTCTGAAGCTGACAGCTTTTTCCTTACTAATTCTGGGTGAGGCTCTGCCTCAACTTCCTCCCCTGACCCCCACATCCCTGCTGTATTCTTACTAGTTTAAGTCTACAGACATTTGAGGGTGACGAGATGCTGAAGGCAAATGTCCTAATTCCTGAACATCATCTTCAGGTAAGATAAACAGGTTTCTTTATTACACATGGATCATAAAAGCAAATCACAGACACGTTGAATGCCAAGAACCCATGTGACATCAGCGGACACTGAGAAAGGTAGAGAGGTGTTGAAATATCTCTCACTTGCTGTCATCCTCTTTAAAAGCTCAAGATTGTCTGTCTTTCTGTAGGTTTCTGGATGGAGAGACCATTACAATTGTCCATGACATTAGTTTTATAGCTTGTCAAAACTGATATAAAATGTTCCGATTGCAGAATTTTGCATGCTGGTAAATTTTGTCTGCAACTGTCAACACCAATATATTTTTCTGTGTCCGCTATTTTGCAACTCATCACCCTGAAGAAGTATTTTAAAATCATATTCCGAAACAAATTTACGCAATGGATTTTTTTGCACCTATATTAAGGCGTCACAAAATGATGAGGCGCTGGGATTTTACCCAACAGTGTAAATACTATTTTAGGACAGGACATTCTATCTCATTTACATGTGTAAGCAATATATTGCAGCTTACCAATCCTTAAATGTGGTGGTTGCATTAGTTTTTCTTTTTTTTTTTTAAGCTTTTTTCTTTTTTTTTCCTCTTTAATTTCACCTGCAGATCCGGCCAGTAACAGTTCCTGTCTTAGGGTGGCTCCACTATATGGAGGAGCAACAAAGCCACCCGTGGACAGCAGCCTTGTCACCCTGTGGAGAGGGTAGCGATATAGATGCACTGGCAGATTTAGATGGTCTTGACTAACAAATTAAATCTGAACTCCAGCCAACACTTATTATGCAGCTACTGCAACAGTTTTTTTTTTTTCCCTTAGGGATAAAGGTCTTACATAAATGAGTTAAACCTGATCATTGCAAGCCCCCGTCAGTGTTAAATGGTTTGTCTCAACCCTCTATCTGCCCTTTTGCTGGACTGTTTGGTCTGCTAAAGGAAGTAGAAAAATATCAGACTTACAGTCCGCATCACCTAGTGAAAATACAGGAAAGAAAGCCTAAAAAGGAGAAACCGTGCACAGCCATTACATCTCAGGGCTGGTAAGCCGTGTTTAAATACACTTTATGGTATAACTGAACATACTTCTCTCCTTGAAGTTTTGTTGTCTTCACAATCAAATCTTGGGTTTGCTCCTTCGATGCCTAAAAACATAAAATGTATTGCTGTCAATAACTATACCTGGAATAAGAGGGGGATGAAGAAAATACATTAAAAATAAATTAATGTAAATGAAGAATAAAAAAATAATAATATATCAGCTTACTTGAGAAATATAAAGCAAAACATAATTACGGATACATTTCTGATGAGGAAAACCATATTAACGCCACCTGCCATGTCACAAGGGACCGCGTTATTTACCTCTTTTAATGAATGTGGCATGAATTATTCATTCAAGATACACATTCAGGCAAATGACTTGAAGACTTTGCTTGATAACGGTGCCTGAAATGTGTTCTTATTTTTATTAGAACAGCTGTAATAGTCCAGTGGTGCAGAATATTAACAGGTTATAATGAGAACTGAAGAAATAACAAATGCCTGACAGTGGGGGATCATGGGACAGCAGAGTCAGAAGGGGTTTTCTCAAGTCCTACCATCTACACATTTATATTTGCTATGTGGAATGCAATATGAAACAATTTTAAGTGCAATTTACATTTTGAAAGAGTTATATCACATTAAAGGTCTAAAATTGTCTAGAGAATCATTTATGAATTGCAGTAAGAATAAAAGTGAACTGGCAGTTTCATAACACCTAAACATACTAGAAAATGTTGCTTAGTGGGGCTCGAAAATAAAAATGAATAAATTTACACACACGGCCAAGAGGGAACAAATGATTAAAAAATATTTAGTGTTAATTAATCACAAAGCTTAAAAGTGACACTAAAAACTCAGGAGTTAAATCTTAAAAATGCATTCAAGTACCTTAAATGAGAACTATGAGGTGAATGCTTTTCACTCACCTCATAGTTCTAGCCGTCTCATTGTCACAGGTTGGCTCAGTAGATCGGGAGGTGAGCGAACACATACCGGCGTTCGCTCACCTCTCGATTCTGTCACGGCTCTCTGCCATGACAGGGGAGGGGCTGAATTCCCCCCTCCCCGCTCCGATCCTCCAGCGCTGACTGGCGGAACGGACAGGGGAGGGTACAGCTGGCTCTGCCTCTAGATAGGCAGAGCCAGTTGTCACTCACGCAGCTGGGCGGATCCCGGCACAATTGTCGGGATCCGCTTCGGCTTCGGCTCGCGGTATATTGAGCCTAGGGTGACGGGAGGACGCTAGTTTGTGTCCTCCGTTACCCTGAGGAGAACTATGGGGAAAAGCCTTAATCCCATAGTTCTCCTTTAAGGGCTTGTTCACACCAAATCTGGACCAGATCTGCATGAGTTTCTGCATAGGCAGTGCAGTGCGATTTGACGTGTTTTTGAATAGTTTCGGTCTGTTTTGTTTGGGTTTTTTAAGCCTAAAATGGGCTTTCAGTGCGTTCCAGGGCGTTTGTATCCGTTTTTGATGCATTTAAGTGCGTTCCAGAGCACAAAAAAATAGGGGGCGTGCTGCAGTTTTTTCACATGCTGTGGTGTGAACTAGAGCCCAAAATACCATTGGAATACATTGGATGTATTTTTGATGCGTTCTGTAACTGCTCTTCATCTGCTCCGCACTTGGTGTGAACAAGCCCTAACTATTAACAAAAATGTATCTTATTTGTATGTCACTTGGCTGTAGATTCTCAAATCATCTCTGACCCTGTCCTTCCTTCTGGAGGGTGGCTACTACTCAAAACAAATTTGTAAACTAAACATGAGATTGTAGTTACAGCCAAGTGATACACAAATAAGAAACATTTCTGTTAAAAATGCATTCAAAAACCTGAACTATTAAGATGTAACTCCTGAGTTTAATATCAGTTTAACATGCTTATTTGGGCCTCATTATATAAGACAGAGTTACCAAATAGGTCTTTTTACAAGTTGACAGAGAGCAGATTTAAGTGTATGCTCAGGTGGACATTCAAAAGGGGTGCTACCAAGTGACCACCAACAGCTGGATCGGATAAAATGTACTATGTTTGAAAGCATAAGTCCACAGTCACCATTTGCACAGTCTCATACAAACTATCGTCTGGGCAACACCTGGTCCTGGATTCCCATTTCTTCCCTAGACACCCCTATCATGGAAATGTTCAGAATGTGGGAAGAATACTCTGTAACATGGGAGCTGCATGTTCTCCTGCATCCAGCAGCTGTTTTCAAATACCCTAACAGCACATTATACATTGCATATTTGAATTAACTGCCTTGGTAAATAGAAAAAAAATTAAAAAACACTCAAAAATGTTTATACATTTTGTAATTTAAAATCTAGCCCCGTAACAAGACACCATTTCCTAAGCAGAAAAAATGCCATTTGCATTAGTCCCTGTCGTCGTAGGAATTTACAATTTAATTTCTATACCACAGTCATACACACATACTGCAATCAGTTCGAATGGAGGCCAGTTAACCTTTTTTTAATATTTTTAGACCGTGGAAGTAAACCAGAGTGGTCCCATGCCAACACAGAGAGAACATACAATGTTTATGCAGATAATGCAGCTTGAACATCCACGGGCCCAGGACTGCAGAGCGAGAGTGCTACTTCCCTGTACAATCCACGTATGAGCCACAAGGTGTTCAGGCAAAAGCAAGGACTTCATATAGAGACGTCTTCTAGCCACATCAAACCTAGCTAAAAACTGGACATGGTTCACTAGATATTTTCACATTTTCATCTACTGGATTACCTTGCTCCCTCAAACAAAAACAGAAAACAAATACTTTTCAACTAGAAGTACTCCTAAGGTTTTATTTTAAAATGTTTACGGCCATCTGTGCAGACCATCAAAATAATGCGTTGCCATGAATTAGTTTTCGCTTCTACATTAACTTGGTAAAAAAGTGTTGTGTTGATATACCAGATTTTAAGGGATCTTCCAAGAGCAATAGAAATTGCCTATAGCTGCATTCAGAATGAAAGGGTTCCTCTGTTTACCAAATGGAAGCCAACAATGTACCTATAGCAGACATGGTGGCTGTTCTGGAACCTGTCCGGCTACACAGGATTTATGCCGTTAGCAACAGCATTTGGCAAACATATTTTGATTAAAATGATTGCATAAAAAGTTTTCAAACCGCTTTAACACTGGAGGAACTGCTTTGGAGCTGAAGATCAGAGAGACAAGGGGCCCCTAATTTGTTTTGCTATAGGGCCCTATCACACATAATTATGAGCCTGATGAAAGCAACCATTCTGAAGCTCGAGCGTTCATACATCATGAAGGTACTGAAATTAAAGATCTTTGCAGCCAAAATCTGGTAGAATCTACTACTCTGACCCAATAATTAACTGCAATTAATTTTTATTACAGCCTCTATATCTTGTTTATCAGACCGTAGAGCCAAGCACAAAACACAATGCAAGGATCTTCTACTTCCAATAAGCATATGTTCGTATCCTGCATTTTATCAAGTGTGTGGTAAAGATGATAGACATACAGACAAAATAATTAATGAACTGCAACACAATAAAATCAAGGAAATGCTAAAATGCAATATGTCACCCAACCCCCGAGACAGCCATTAATTGCTATATGAATGGGTACGATAAATACTCCAATTTGCCATATGTTATCTTTATGACTGTCAGAGGCTTTTTAGCACAAGCAGGCTTTCACATCTCAAAAACTACATGTAAGAAAATTCAGAGGTACCAAGTCCATACCGAGGTATGGACAGTCAGTAACATGGACTGGTGGAAGAACGAATGGACTACAAGTACGGTAATGTTTCCAATTATATATTTAATTGAGGACTACAATTCCCTCTGCTGCGGTGGCTAAAGCAACTTGTAGTTACTCCATTCCTGTCAAAGGATCTGCAAATGGAGGAACCGGCTGTGTAGCCACAGCAACGCACAGCCGCGCTATTTTCAAATTTCAACACCAGCCTTCAGGGAGAAGAAACCTGTGTTTCAGGTAAGTGGGGGACAGGGGTGGGGTTACAATTTGACCATGTTGTATGATACACAGCATGAACGTGGGCCTAGTCCGATACACAGCATGAACGTGGGCCTAGTCCGATACACAGCATGAACGTGGGCCTAGTCCGATACACAGCATGAACGTGGGCCTAGTCCGATACACAGCATGAACGTGGGCCTAGTCCGATACACAGCATGAACGTGGGCCTAGTCCGATACACAGCATGAACGTGGGCCTAGTCCGATACACAGCATGAACGTGGGCCTAGTCCGATACACAGCATGAACGTGGGCCTAGTCCGATACACAGCATGAACGTGGGCCTAGTCCGATACACACCATGAACGTGGGCCTAGTCCGATACACACCATGAACGCGGGCCTAGTCCGATACACACCATGAACGCGGGCCTAGTCCAATACACACCATGAACGTGGGCCTAGTCCGATACACACCATGAACGTGGGCCTAGTCCGATACACACCATGGGCTTGGAGAACAAAGTGCCTGGAAGCTAAGTGGCCTGGAAGCTAAGTGCCGTTAAAAAATTGGATTTGAACTGTTTGGGATATATTAAGTGCTTGATTTTTGGTATACTTGAGTAATATGAAACGTAGTCTAAAATGTAAGCTTAGTCTTTAAACATAAAGGTCTACACATGAAACCCCCATAAACACCTTACTTGCATTATTATATTATAGATTGGAAGTTGAAATTAATAATGTGAAATAGTCAGTTGGCTCGACACTAATGAGATGTGTACAATACAAACACTGAAACTGCCAGATGCTGATCTCCTCCTCAGAGGTTAGAGCTCTGCGCACATTGGTGATCAGGATGTATTTCCCTTCATGTCTCTCTGCGCTCACATTCTGACTTGTGTTCTCTGTAGGTTACTTAGGAGATTATTACAAAATTTTAGGACTGCAGGTGCAGTACTCAATACCAATCGTTGCATTAAATCTACCTGCAGCATGCTTTTATTGCATTTATTGCTAGCAATGTAAAGTGCACCTATTGCCATAATCAACGATTATTTTGACTACATTGACAAGTGGGGAAAATGGGGGAGCATCCCACCACAGAGACTGGGCCGTCAGACTGCAAGGCTGAACT